CTTATCCATCCTGTTATTTCCTGCACCTGACAATATAGTTTACAGTCTCTACATAGAAGGTTTTCAATAAATGCTTATTGAGTAATGATAAATAAGCTATAAGTAGCACTGTTACTTACACGGAAAGTTTATAAGTAAATGGAAGGTAAGTAAAATTGTAATTTTTTTCTAATACATTAGATTCTGAAAAAGATGAGGTCTTTGTTCCTTAGTAATGAATTCATGCAATTTACAGTTAATTTATTCCAAACTCCCTTGAGACCATGCAATATGATCTGCACCTCCTACAATAAGTCCACCCTTAAATGCCCATGAAAATTTAAAGTCTAAATACTACATACTCAAGTAGTACTTATAAAAAGCTAGAATACTACCAAAAAAGACAAATGTGATACTTGAGGAATGCATGTAGCTGCATAGTGGTCAGTAAAAATATTCTTGATGCTAATGTGTTAATTTTCATGTATTCAGATTATCAATTTTAAACAACTAAGTGAAAATAATTTTATAAAAAGCTACATAACCTGGGCTTCCTGTGATGACTGAAAACATATTTCTGAAACTTGCAGCGATTTGTTCACCAGGGTGAACATGAAGCATCATTAAGCTACAAATATACCTTTGACAGAGATTTCTAATTAAATGGATACGAGGCAATAATTTAAATAGATATAATTGTTAAATCGGTAGAGTGTACATTAATAGATGATACTGGTATGACAAATACGCATTTAAAAATCAATCAACTAAATTGCTGTTACACAGTAAAACATACTTCCTATGATTAAGTACAATGTTTTAAACAAAAGTAATAAATAGTGTCAATATAATAAAACTCAGATACTAAAAACTAGCTCTACTACTATAGGTAGCTTTACTAAAACAAAAAATCTCGTGTTATAGTTGTGCCTACTATCCCTTTATTCAAGACCTGGTAGTCTAGTTTGCTAGGGTAGTTTTCTGATACACACAAAGAATGAAGTGAGTCTCTTCCATACCCTCCCCCATATAGGCTCCCCTGAGAGTCAAGCTTAATATGAGTTCCATTTCCAGAGATAAAAAGGCCTGCATTAACAATGATGCATCCTAGATTTCTTTTTACAATAAATTACCATATTTATATTTTGAAGCTGTCATATGCTAGAGGATATTAAATATCCTCTCACCATAATTAACTTTAAACCAAATTAAATGGTTTGGTTCAAAATACACTGTGAAAGTTAAAGGAATATGATCCTACTACTAATTATTTTGCAATTATTTTAATAATTAGAGCTATGTAATTTATTCCTGACAGATTTTAATTGAGAATACTGGCTTAAAAGCTCAATTTTTTTCTCTTTTTATCCGTAAAATATAAAGAATTTGAACCATGTATTTCAAAATCTTAAAAGAGCATTTTCAACATGCTCACTATAAAGATGTTTGATAGATGTTTACTTTGATTTAAATATCACACAATATATGCATGTATTAAAATATCACATGAACTCTATAAATATGTAGAATTTGTATGTATCAGTTTAAAAATACTTATAAATCAGTCTATGAATCAATTTAAATGGGCTAGTATGTCCATGAACACATCCTGTGGTTGTTTCACCAGTTGCTGGCTACAGTTGGAAAGAAATGTCTCTTACCTCAAAGAATTCCCACTGATTTTGGTCTACAAAGTAACAGTTCTTATTATAGGAAAAGGCAGACTTAAAAAGCAGAGGAAAAATAAAAGCAAAAAGTATATGGCACCCCCAAGGTAAGTGTAGAAATTAGTACCATGATGAAAGACATAGAATAATTATGAATTATCATAAATTTAATCAGGCTGTTACTGCAGCTATTATTTCAAAAATGCTATCTTTAATAAAGTAAATGAGCACAGCCTCTGGAACCTTAGATACAAGCTGGCACATAATTTTGTTTCTATTTCAGTCTAAGACATTATCAGAAGACACCTGCTTTTGCCTTAGATAGCAATGGTGAACTTTCATAGACTGAGTGCTCAAAATGCATTCCAAAGCCCATTTACTTATCACAGAATAGAAACACTGCAGTCAAACCTGAACACTGGGGTTCTGGTTTAGCACAGAACAACTCATACACCTGGCTCACGTGCTGACAGAGAGGGCCCTCTCCAAACCCAATGTGGCACTCCTGCCATAGGTTCACCACCAAAGGCCTACAATGACTAATGCTACATTTCACAGCCCAAGTACATAGGTCTTGTGCTCTCTGCAACAGTACAATCCAGACACAGAGAGATGTTTGACAAAATAAATAAATATTTAGTATTTTTATAACATACAGCAATCTAAATGTTTTAGATACTACTTTACTAAATTTTCATAAGTAAACACTGCTATAATCCACACTAGAGAATTAAGGACAAAAGCAAAAGATAAATAACTTAAGTGAAGAGTGGCACAGCCAGAATTGAAATCCGAGTGGTATAATCCAGAGCCTCTCTGCTTACAAGTATCCATGACACTAGTGTAAAGAGAAATTTTGTTTGCACCTTAATGCATTTGTCAATGGGCAGATTTAAAGGTTTACATCTTTTGACAATTATGAATAATGTTGCTAAGAAGATTCACATACAAATTTTTGTAGATATACATCTTCATTTCTCTTAGGTGTCTACCCAAGAACAGAACTGCCGGATTATATGGCAATAGCTATACCAGTTTATAATCTCAACATGTTTGAGGGCTTCCACTTCTCCATATCTCACCACCACTAATTACTGCATTTTTTTTTTTTTTTTTAGAGACAATGCACCTCATTAATACTTTCTGGCTGATTACAAAATGAGTGAAAGAGATAGGCCTTTTAAAAGGGAAAAAGTAACTGGGATTAGAATCAAACAGCAAGGGGCCCAGGAAACAGCTCAGTGGCATGGACACCTGCCTGGCAGGCACAAAGTCTTAAGTTCGACCCCTCATACTGCAAAAAACAAAAAAGAAGACATCAAACGAAACAATTCAGAGACAGTTGGACTTGCACAGTGCAGCAAGTAACAAGAAAGAAAAACAATTTTTCAGACAGGGTCTCACTATGTAGTTCATGCTAGCTTTGAACTGTGTAGCCCACACTGGCCTTGAACTTGCAGTGATCCTCCTGCTTCAGACTCCCAAGTGCTGGGATTACAGGATTACATGCTAGACCATGCAAAGATGAAGATAAATTTTAAAAGCAATTAAAACAAAAATGCATTCATTTATTCTGTGCCATATTTTGTTCTAAATGTTTTGCATATTTAATCTTCATAAAATCTTATCAGGCAAATTTCTATTTTATTCATAAAAACCTGGGGCACAGAAAAAATAATGTGGGGCTGGTGAGATGGTTCAGTGGTCTAAAGCACCTACTTGGAACAAGCTTGGCAAAGCACAGGGACCGCGGTTCAATCCCCCAGCACCACATGCCAGCCAGCCCCGCCCCCTGGTGGGCTGAGCTGGACACACACACACACACACACACACACACACACACACACACACAATAAATAAATAAATAAATAAATAAATAAATAAATGTTTTAAAAAAAGAAAAAAGAAAAAATAATGTGTTTCTTGTCACACATCTAGTAAGCAGATTTCATTCAAGGCAGCCAGGTTCTAAAAATCTATGCTAAAATGAAATTAGAAAACACAAAACACTCCTGTGCTGCACAAGTTAAGTTATACCATTGTAAGTCATAGATACACTATATTCGCAAGTTTGCAATTTACAAGGTAGGGACTGCCTTTATAATTCCAGCTTTTGACCATTGCTGTATTTTAGTTATTGATGTAATATAAAGCCACAATATTTTTTAAACAGCTCTCAGATGAAAACCTAAATTGTATGTCTATAAAATTCAACACAGAAAACTGCTAAGACATACAAAGTTATTATAGACTATGATTAATTACTTAATATACTTCTCCTCGCAAGTTCGTAGAGCCATTGTCTAACACAGTGAGGAGAGGACAGGGAAACAACATCCACATGCTTTATTAAACCCTTTTCTTAGGATCCATCATATTACACAACATCCTTTCCTTGAAAGGATCATGCCCTCACTGAAGAGACAATTATGTTTTAATCTTAAGAAGTCTGGGGTCAGGGAGATAGCTCAGTGTGGAATAAGTGCTTGCCTGACAAGTGCAAGGTCCCGAGTTCAATCCCTGGTACCACAAAAAAAAAAAAAAAAAAAAAAAAAAAAAAAAAAAGGTCTGCAGTCTTGTAACTAGTAACATATTCTGTGTTCTCATTATCGGGAAAAGGCATACCTTTGAAAGGTAAAATAAATTTGATGACATACATTGGTAGACTTTAATTTCTTTGTTATCTTACTTATGATTTGCTTGGTTAAACTCTTGTTACCTGTTGTAATATACTTACTTAGATGCCTTAAAAATTCATAGAACATTATGAAACAAAAAAAGGTTTTGAAAAAAAAAAAACACAAGGTTTTGAGAATACAATGAAATATATTCATGCTAAAGCACATTTTATAAATGAAACCATAAAGACTAAAAAACAAATGAAAAATACTTAATGACCATTATGAAAAAAATTTAATGAATATTAGCAATTAAAACTTTATTCTAATAAAGTATGGACTAATATTTGCCACGCCAAATACAAATACGAAATAGTAGCCTTCAAAGTTAAAAAAAAAAAAAAAAAAAAAAAAAAAAAAAACAACTTATTTCCATACATTTATCCTGTTTTGGTAGAATTACTTTTTAGGAACACCAACTTTAACAATTTAACAAAGTTCATTTTTATATTACTATAGTTTTAAATGTTATAAAATAGTAGTTGCCATAAGTCAAAAGCACAAATACTCTGTGAGACTCAAGGTAAATGTAAAATATATCTTATTAATCTTTTTAAAAAGTATTATAAAATATATGTGTGATACCCCATAGAGTAAAGCCTTATACCGAGTACCATTTCATGTGAAAAAAAAAAAAAAAGTCTCAGGGGGGGAGTGTGGATTCTTGTACACTTACCCTTCTCCGCCCACTCTTGTTATCTTTAGGCGAAAATCAACAGAATTCAGACTGGGAGGCTTCCATTTCAATATATCATCACATCGACCAGGTTTATATTTCTAAAGTGAATTTAAAAAATAATTATTAGGAAGAAGATAAAAATTCTATTTATTAATTGTGATGTTTTCTATTACTCAAAATTACTAATTCTCTTATGAACATTATTTTGTTATCTTCTATCACCAAATGAACTACCTATCTACCTCTAGAAAAATAAAAGTAATCCAGGGCTGCAGAGATAGCACTGGGGTCTATGCACCTGCCTAGACAAGCACAAGGACTTGGGTTCAATCCCAGATACCATATGCAGTGCCAGGCCCACTGCAGGTGCGCCAGGCCAGGCCCCCAAGACCCGGCGTGGTGGTGCATGCCTGTAATCCCAGCACTGGGGAGGCTGAAACAGGAGGATCACTAAAAAGTCAGAGCTGGGTAGAGAGACCCTGTATCAAATGTATAAAATTAAATAAGCAAATTAATAAAATAATCCAATCTATCCATGACTTAAAGCCTCATAGTGTTTTAAAAAGTAATTTTTTGTTATTCAGCTTTACCAATAAATTATAACAAATAAAATACAGCAATGAATTTTCACAAGTAAATACATATAACCATTACTAAAAAATCATAATATGGAACATTTCCGTGACCAGAAAAGTTTCCTCCTGACATCTACTGTCAGTTCCTTCTGACAAGTCTTTGGTAACAATGATCAGCTTTCTATCACTGCAGTTGTAGCTGTTCGAGAGCACATAAAGTGACTTACCATAACACTGCTGAGATGTAGCTAGGCTGGTATTATGCATTAGTGGTTTGCTAGCTTTGATTGCTGAGTAGTAATGCTCTGCAGGAATATAACAAATGGCTTATGGCATTACAAGCTGATGGATATCTGGGTTATCATGAATGATGCTGCTCATCATCAGTGTGTTTTTCATAAATTTTAGGTAAAAACCTAAGAGAACGGAACCACTGTGTCACCCAGTAAATGTACGTTCAACTGAGAAACCAATGAATTGTTTTACAATGCAGCTGTAGCATTTGCCATTTCCACCAGTAATATACAGTAGTCAATTTGTTCTATACCACCACAGGATTAAAAATTGCCTTTTGGGGCTGGAGAGATGGCTCAGTGGTCTAAAGCACCTACTT